ATGCTAATATTATACTATTGTCTCTCTTCCTTGTTTTCCACGTAAAAAAGGAAAAGAAGTTCTGTGTGAACCAGAAAAGCTAAAAGGGTCAGGGGATGTGACAACCTGCTACCCCCACCCCGCTATGTGCAATTTAATGTGCTAAATAGAACTGAATCACCATGGAAATGTAAATTTAAAAGCTGGGTAGAACACACCACAAAGCACAGAGGTTCTCAATACTGTAGGTAGCTGCTATGGGAACAGTGCATCCAAGAAAATGACAAGTACAAGCCCTTCTTCCCCTAAATTTCAGCGTTTCTAAATGCTTTTTCCTGAAAGGTAGGGGACAATGATCCCTTCAGAGCTATTTGCAGAGGAGTAACAATTGGCCTTTATTCCCTTTGCTGAAAAAGTCTGTGACACTGCTATAGATTTTGGCATTTGGTGATGAGCTCAACATGGCATTAAATCCCAAAGGAATCAACTTCACGGTTTCCATATTCTTAGGGAAAGCCTTTCTCTTATATACTACTTTGTACACAAAAAGCAGGGGACAAGTATTTTGAGTATGCGCAGCATCAATACTGAAAAGTAAGTTCACCAAAGAACCCCTTGTACAGCTTTTACTGTCCAACCACCTCCAGAAGAAGGTGGCTTGTCTGCATTTTGACAGAGAGCTGAACGCTGCCTCTCCCTCCTTATAGGGTCGTTGTTATGGCCAAAATTATGCAGAATTATCTTTGGCTTCAACCAGAGGCCTTAACTGTCTTTCTCTGGGGTCCCTAGGAAGTCAAGGAGCCAATAGTGCTAGAACAAATAAGCTGCCAAATAACTGGGTTATTTCATCCTAATGGTTTGTTACTCAGCACAATTATTTCCCATCCCTTCTCTTGACACATTTAACTTTTTTTATTTGACATATAAGGATAAAAGAACATAGAAGGATAAACCTGTGAAGAAATAACTTCAAATATTTACTCAATTGTAAATTGTATGATTCCATGCCGTACCTGCAAGGAACTGCTCATATTCAATGACAGGGATGTTCCTGTTGAGGTTTGGAAGATCGAAGAACTCGGACCAAGGGATCCGGACCTGAAGGATGTCAGGGCTCTGCCAGTGATAAAGACGTCCCCAGGGAGGCAGAACTAACACCCAGTTTTCACTTTTCAGCAAGGTCTTTAGAAGAGAAGCAACACGAATGTAGACATCTCTGCGCAGGTTGAAACCTTCAGGAGGATTTACATCATACAAAAGGTACCTGGGGAGAACAAAGCAACATAACTACTTCAGGGAGTTTAAAATGTTTATATGTTTTTTTTTTCCCCCACAATTGTGGCAAAACTCTATTGGGATGGAAACTGTTTCTCTTTTATGAGTCTGTGGTTCTCAGAAGATGGAAGGGGACGAAGTAGGAGAAGGAAGAGCAGTGCATGCTGCAGGGGCTGGGGGGGCCACCGGGGTCTCCTCACAGGACATCATCAAGGTGGCCCATAGAATCATAGAATGGTTAGAGTTGGAAGAGACCATAAAGATCATGTAGTTCCAACACCCCTGCCATGGGCAGGGACACCTTCCATTAGACCAGGTTGCTCAAAGTCCCATCCGACCTGGCCTTGAATACATCCAGGGACTGGGTATCCACAACCGCTCTGGGAAACCTGTTCCAGTGTCTCACCATCCTCACTGTAAAGAATTTCTTCCTAATAGCTAATCTAAACCTACCCTCTTTCAGTTTAAAAACATTACCCCTTGTCCTATTACTACACTCCCATATAGTCATAGAATCATAGAATTGTTATGGTTGAGAAGAGAATGGAAGAGACCTTTAAGATCATCAAGTCCAACCGTTAACTTAGCACTGCCAAGTCCACCACTAAACCATTTCCCTCAGCACTACATCTACATGTCTTTTAAATATCTCCAGGGATAGTGACTCACCCACTTTGCTAGGCAGTCTGTTCTAATGCTTGACAACCCTTTCAGTGAAGAAATTTTTCGTAATGTCCAATTGAAACCGCCCCTGGTGCAACTTGAGGCCATTTCCTCTTGTCCTATCACCTATTACTTGAGAAAAGAGACCAACTCCCACCTCGCCACAACCTCCTTTCAGGTAGTTGTCGAAAGCGATAAGGTCTCCCCTCGGCCTCCTTTTCTCCAAGCTAAACAACCCCGGTTCCCTCAACTGCTTCTTGTAATACTTGTGCTCTAGACCCCTCACCAACTTTGTTGCCCTTCTCTGGACACACTCCAGAATCTCAATGTCTTTCTTGTAGGGAGGGGTCCTGCCTTTCATAAACTCATGCTGACTCAGCCTAATCACCTCCTTGTCCTGTATGTGCTGCATGATGGCTTTCAAGATGATCTGCTCCATAACCTTCCCCAGCTCCAAGGTCAGACTGACAGGCCTGTAGTTCCCCAGATCCTCCTTCTGGCCCTTCCTGTAGATGGGCATCACCTTTGCTAACCTCCAGTCAACTGGGACCTCCTCTGTTATCCAGGACTGCTGATAAACAATGGAAAGTGGCTTGGTGAGCACTTCTGCCACTCCCTCAGTACCCTTGGGTGGATCCCATCCAACCCCATAGACTTGTGTGTGTCTAAGTGGTGGAGCAGGTTGTTAACCATTTCTCCTTGGATTATGGGGTGTTCATTCTGCGCCCCATCGCTGTTGTCCAGCTCAGGGGGCTGGGTACCCAGAGAACAACTGGTCTTACTATTAAAAGACTGAGGCAAAGAAGGCATTAAATACCTCAGCCTTTTCCTCATCCTTGGTCACTATGTTTTCTCCCGCATCCAACAGAGGATGAAGATTCTCCTTAGTCCTCCTTTTGTTGTTAATGTATTTATAGAAACACCTTTTATTGTCTTTTACAGCAGTAGCCAGATTAATTCCAGTTGGGCTTTGGCCCTTCTAATTTTCTTCCTAAATAGTCTCATGCAATCTTTGTAGTCTTCCTGAGTGCCCTGCCCTTTCTTCCATAGGCCACAAAATTTCCTTTCCTTCCCGAGTTCCAGCCAGAGCACTCGGTTTAGCCCTCTGGAAGTCCAAGGTGCCAGTTCTACTAATCCCCCTCCTTACTTCTCCAAGAATTGAAAACTCTTATCATATTGTGATCACTATGCCCAAGACAGCCTCTAAGCTTCACATTACCTACAAGTCCTTCTTCATTTGCAAACAGGTCTCACAGGGCACCTTCCCTAGTTGGCTTGCTCACCAGCTGTGTTATCTTCCACACACTCCAGGAATCTCCTAGACTGTTTCCTTTCTATGGTATTGTATTTCCAGCAGATGTCTGGTAAATTGAAGTCCCCCACAAGAACAAGTGGTAGTGACTGTGAGACTTCTCGCAGCTGCTTACAGAATATTTTGTCTGCCTCTTGATCCTGGTTGGGCTCCCACCATGGTATCTGTCTTCTTGGCCTTTCCCCTAATTCTTACCCATAAACACTCAATGCTACCCCTCCACATCCTTCCTGGAAGCACTTTTTAGGTACTGGAAGGCTGCTATAAGGTCCCCCAGGAGCCTTCTTTTTTCCAGGCTGGACAACCCCAACTCTCTCAGCCTGTCTTCATAGGAGAGGTGCTCCAGCCCTCTGATCATCTTCGTGGCCCTCCTCTGGACTCACTCCAACAGGTCCATGTCCTTCTTATGTTGGGGGCCCCAGAGCTGGATGCAGTACTCCAGGTGGGGTGTCATCAGAGCAGAGCAGAGGGGAGAATCACCTCCCTTGACCTGCTGGCCACGCTTCTTTTGATGCAGTCCAGGATGTGGTCGGCTTTCTGGGCTGCGAGCACACATCACCAGCTCATATTGAGCTCCTCATCCACCAACACTCCCAAGTCCTTCTCCTCAGTGCTGCTTTCAATCCATTCTCGGCCCAGCCTGTATTTGTGCTTGGGATTGCCCTGACCTGGGTGCAGGACCTTGCCCTTAGCATTGTTGAACTTCATAGGGTTTGCACAGGCCCACCTCTCAGGCCTGTCAAGATCCCTCTGGATGGTATCCCTCCCCTCCCGCATGTTGACTGTGCCACACAGCTTGGTGTTGTCGGCAAACTTGCTGAGGGTGTACTCAATCCCGCTGTCCACATCCCTAACAAAGATGTTAAACAGCACCAGTCCCAGTACTGACCCCTGTGGAATGCCACTCGTCACTGGTCACCACTTGGGACATTGAGCCGTTGACGACAATTCTTTGAGTGCAGACATACCACAAGCCTCTCCTGCAACAGGGCAGGATGTGGGGAGTGAACCCCTCGGATGTCTTCCATGTCCTGAGGGTAACATGGTGTGTGGTGACAATGATAAAACCACCGGCACATTACTCAAGCTAATTCCTGTGAGCTGAATATGAAGGTGGGAGGACACGTTCAAGACGGACAGGGGAAATGGGTGCATATCACCTGCTGCAGGGCAGATGACTGCGCGTACCCAGGCCACGGTCACAGCAGGAAAGCCCCCAAACAGCTGCAGTGGCGGCATCGTCCAGAAACAACCCAAACAGCACCAGCAGGTGAAGGAGGACCTTTACATGCCCACCAGCCGATGACTCAGAGACACATCAGGTCACTGGTGGGGGCACCCACTGTCTCCCCCCATGACACCATGCAGGAGGCTATGATGAGAGGAGGATCCCAGGGACGGCAAGCAGGACTGGCCTGGGGTGAGTGGGCCCATGCTGAGCCTAGGCAGGGGGGCGGGGAGGAGGTTGCTGCCCAGGCATGGTCCTGCTGGGCCCATGGTGGCTGAGTAGGGCAGCTTCTCACCTGGTGCGTGGTGCAGCGGCGGCGGCAGGCAGCGAGGAGGCGGCATGGCCGGCACGGAGGGCGGCAGGTGGTGGCTGGGCAACAGCAGGCAGTGGGAGGGTGAGCACGGCTAGGCCGAGCAGCAGCTGCGGCAGCAGCAGGCAGCAGTCGGGGTCTTGCATCGCCATCCTCATGCCACACCACGTCTTGGGCAGCCCCCTGGTGCACAGGCAGGAAGCAGCAGCTATGGGGTCCCCGGCGCAGCTCCCTCAGAAGAGGCCTGCGGTCAGGGGCTGGAGGCTGGCCCCTGTGAGCTGGTTCAGCTCCTCCAGGATCTCCACCTCCTTCTCGTACATCTGCGGGAGGAGGGTGCAGAAGAAAAGTCATGTTCAGTGTCACTGGCACTGTGCTCCAGGGCTGAGCTTAGCAGGGTCTCAACGCCTGCCAACACCAGCATCCACATGAGCCACAACCCTGAAGAGCCACCTGCACAGTGGGCCTGACCCACAGGTTCCCTGCCACAGGGGTGCAAGACAGGGAGATGCTTTCCACCCAAGTACGACCTGACACAGGCTGGACACCACACACCTTCCCCAGCTCCAGGGTACCGCCATACCTGTTGCCACTCGGGTTTTGTGTTGTGCTGGTAGCCAAGCAAATGGCACAACCCATGGGCTGCTGTCACCTGTGCAAGGAGGCAAGAGCAAATGACATTTATTACAAACTTAACACCCACATCAGCAGCTCACCTGAGCAGACAGCACGAGCACCACTGCCGCAGTCTGCCCCGCACAAACTGGGGTACAGGGCGTGACCATGGCTAACCCCGTACCAGATAATTTGCCATTTTGCCAGAACCCACGGGGGAACGCTGGTACTCTGCATACAAAATGACAAATATCAGGTAGTGTCTGAAGTCACCAGTTAAATGAGTTTTAAAACACATTTAACCATTCAGCGTAATCTATGAGATCATCGCCTCCTTGTTTAGCGCCCCCCCCCGGCCTAGGAAAGCGGCAGCCATTACCCTGTCCTTGTGGGACACCCCACGGCTGCCTTTCCCTGCAGCGCAAGACCGGGGGAAGGGCTGCCCGCGGAGGGCCGGGCAGGCCCGCTGCCCGTGGCGGGGCTCACCACCAGCACGCTGTCGAAGTCCTCCCCACTAACGCGGCACTGCTGGTGGATGTACTCCACCCCCAAGAAGATGTCGCCCAAGTTGTACTCGTCGCGGCAGCGCGGCCGCGGCAGCTCCCCCTCCCGCCCCCGG